CCAATCCCGAACGGTCTGGGATTCTGTGATTTAAGATACCCCATACAGGAAAAGGTCTATGAGAAGAGTACAAAGTTGTCATATATATAAGCTGTCACAGTGCTCAGCAAAAACGACTGCCTGGATAATATCACAAGTGCTGCAGCCAGGCACATCCCTTGGCATCTCTTGCATTAGCAATAGCTGCTTCCTCAAAGATTCCCCCTTGGGCCTTATTTCCCCAAGGACCTGATACAGTCACTGCAGTAGAAAATCTGCTTCTCTAAAACCTGATACTTGCACACACAGCTGCCAGCTTAGACTCAAAAAATCAGCGTGGGGCCCATATCCTGCAGCTGCTTTTCCAAAAAAAAAAAAATTAAATCAGGTTTCATGTCTTACCACGTCGACACTGATGTGGCCATGGGGGTTGTTGAGAGCACGCAGGGACCTCAGGTAGTAGAGCATGGCTGGGTCAGAGCCAGTCCAGCAGCTGACCAGAAGGCGGATTTGTACCCTGTGGTTGAAAGCTGCGCGTCTCAGAGCGTTGTCAATGGCTGGCCAGTACCTAGAGAAGAGTAGGTGAGTGAGAAAAGGGGGATTTGTCCAAACAGTTCGGTAGAAAGCTGTGACAATAAACTGAGAATGCAAGTGACACCGTACACAGATGGGATCTCTGACAGTGACAGAAGCGCTTGTGCCTTCACTGGAGGTGTAGATAAGATTTCTGCCTTCTCCCCAGCCAGTTCTGTTTTGAGGCCTCCAGTCCCTCCCAAATTGGGTTGAAGTTGATCAGAAAGTTTAAAACTTTGTAAAGTGCATGTGCACAGATACACAGCACGGTGCCATCATGCTCATTTCCTTAGGAAACTGGGAATGACAATATTAACTTCAGTGTAAAGCCAGACCACACAACGTGAGATAAAAGAGACAGCGCAGAGCCCAGAGGAAAGCCTAAGAGCGGTTTTGCAGAATATGGCCATTTCTGGACCCTGGAGACTGTTTCTAGTGCCCACTGGGGTCCTGTGCCATCAGCCAGGCTGCACAGGCTCTATCCCTCCCCGTGTCTCCTATTTCCCTCTTCAGTGCACTGTGTGCCCCTGATGTACCCAGCACAGCTCTGCTCTCCTGAGCGCAGGGCTGTTTTCCTGACACTTGTGTTGGCAGTAGCCTAGGGAAAAAATATTAACATCCTTCACCCAGCTACACAACACTAAGAGCTGGATAATGTACATCCCAGGACAACTCCAAACACCCACGTAGCATTTTCATGCTACGTTTAAACAAGTGCTGCGTAGAGGAAAACAAGCATCTTTAGTACAGGTACAGAGAGAAGTCCAGCACTCATTCACAGTCCCTTGAGCAGTGGTGAATTAATTTGCCTAACTTACTCCTTCTGGTCTTCTGTACAAAGCCCTGAATTCTCAAATCCTCCCTCATACGTTGTCCTAATGTGATCAACAGGGAGGCCGTGTGCTTTCAGGCTCAGGTTGACTTGTAGATCATGAAAAACGCAGAAAAACCTGCTGTTCAGAAGGGCTGTTTTTGAGCAGTTTCCTTTTTTTAAAATCTGTTGGTTTCTAGTTGATCAACACTCAGGCGTTAAGACACCAGCTTTGTTCCCTCTGCCTCAGCTGCTGGAGGAGCCTGACCTGAACTCCCCAGCCCCAGCTCATTACTCTAGAGCTGGATGCTGCGGACGTAGCCCAAGGCCCTGAGCTGCCTTCCCCAGGCCTTTCAAACTTGTTTGCATCACATCAGGCCCTCGATGTCACAAATGGTGGATTAAGGCTTCAGATGAAGAATGAGGAGTATTAACACACTCATTCCTAAGGGGAAAAAGAGACTTCCTGTGAACCAATCCTTAGCTGAAAGCAAGGGATGAGAAACCCAGAGCTTCAACTAAACTGCATAGAAACCAAAAATCCTCTAAGCTGTTTGGTTTATAAAAAATAGCCTTCAAGTCTTTGAGACTTTTTGTTTCAAGGACAGTGGAATTATCTGTGTCTATCATTCTACTCCCTTCCTGCTGACACACACACACCCAGCTGAACCACAGAGGCTCTAGACAGCCGTGCCAGAGGACGTGGTGCATGGTACAATTGTGGCTAAATGGCAACCTAGAGCTCACTCTATTCTTCACAAGCCACGTTGTGCATCACTATTTTTCTGAACTTCTTTCTCGGTCAGATTATTTAGATGATTGGAAAGCTCAGAAATGTTATAAAGCAGATAACACTCAGAGCATTTGGTTGCATGTAAACATCCTAATTCAAGCATATCTATGAGAATTCAGAGTCTTAGTGATTGCCCACACACAATTTGGCCACTCCAGATCACCACTACCTCCTTCTCTTTGAGAGATGCTGCTGTATGCAGCCAGCACGCTTCAGGAGCTTGGATGCAATATTTTCTTTAAAAAGCCTGCTGTTCCCATTCCTCCCTCTATTCATAAAGCTGCTCTGTGGTATTGTGAAGGGAGCTGCACCTGACTGTCTCTAATCTGGCACTTCACCGTTGTCTTGCTGTGTGAAGGGCACGAGAGGCTGCTCTAAAAAGCTAGTGAAGCACATAGGTACCATCCTTCCTCAGTTTTTGCAGTATCATAAAATCAGTATTTGCACAGTTCACAAGGCAGTCTTGAATGCAGAGCGAAGCCTCAGTTCTCTCCGCTCTGAATATTTCTGTGGTAAAAGGAGCATGGGGAGGAAGAATATCTTTTGCCTTCAAATAATAAGTAGCACAAATCGTTTCAAATAGCACATTTTGCCAAGCAACTGACTGGCTCAGGGTTAAAATTGTACCTTTCTGGATGAACGAAACGGCTGGTGGGGAAATATTCCATAACAGAAACATAGACAAATTTCTGTGCCTCAAGGATAACACTGATTATAGCAAAGAGATCATAGGTGCGACCTTCTGGACAGAACGCTGGAGGAGAGGCCTGTGAAGAAGAAGAAAGCATACAGCTCAGTGATTTCACCCTTTTTCTGTCAGACTGTGATTCATTTCTACTCAGATCTGTTCAGTTTTCACTAAAATAGCATGAAGCATTTCAGCCTGACCACTACTGTTCCTCATGCCTTCCACACCCTGATGGGTCAGGTACTTACTGCTCTATGGAGCCCACAGGTGATTAAAGGAGTCCTGCACCCCATCCTTGCCATACTGCCCCATAACCCAGCCTGGGTCAACCCTTTTTCCTTGAACGGTTCCAGTAAAATCTGTTGAATTACCCAACTGGAGAACAAGCAACCAAAGACAGCTGAAGAAAATTTCTGGCCAATGCTTGAACATAGTGTTATTTTTAAACATACTTACAGAAAAATAGGCTTTCGTCAGGATTCCATTAAACTCTACTTCCAGAGGCTGATGTTTGTTAATGTAAGTAGAATAATTAAGAGGCCAAGGGAATGGGACGGTAGCATTTGCATGTCCAAGGTCCCAGTAAGTGCAGAATGTTTTCCAGAGGTCTTGGGCTAAGCAGCTGCAGTTATAGATCACAGCACCAAACTCCTTCACCTGCAAAGAAAGCAAGTTGTGTCACAGCCCCAGAGAGAGCCACCTCCAGGGCCTGCTTTGCTGTTTCTCCCACTCGGTCAGTATTTCACATCATTATGATTTTTCTGTTATGTGCTTGGACATTATTTCCCCCCCAGATTTTTGAATACCCAGCAGCAGAGCTTACCTGAGATAAGGCTCTCCAGTCCATGTTTGCACTACCAATATAGATGTGTTTCATGTCTACAATCCAGAATTTGCTGTGCAACACGCCTCCTACCAAATGTCCAAAATCAACCTTTCTTACGTGAGCCCCTGAAGAGAGACGGGGAGGGGAAAAGAATAGTTTAGATGCGGTATGGAGATGGTAATCTATACTGCTCTTGTGACAGCCAGGTGTCTGCATGTCCAATACTTGCAGCCAGAAATAACTACCAAAATTCACAAGCACTCCTTCCTGGGAACACAGCAACTTGCAAAAACATACAAAGTGTGAACTTTCAGGAAAATCCTTAAGGGCATTACAACATAGACGGAAATCATGACCTGGTGGACACGCAGTGCTTGTCCTGTCAACTCAGGTAAGCACCATGCCAGAACAGGCCTTGGAGATGCCTTTTTGCAATCCTGGAGTTCTGAGTGCATTGCTGCAGTGAGGTAATTACCTTTTTCCTCTAAAAGCTCAAGGTCGGTTGAATTTGTAGCCAAAGTTGGCACACTCGTTGCAACGTACACAGAGATATTCTCTGCAAGTAATCTCTCAAACCTCTTCAGAATATCTTCACCCTGCATGGTACATTGTTTGTTATTATTTATATTTTGTTCTAGAATATTTAGTAAGAGATGTGCAAGTACATTGTTACTAATGGGTGCTTCTTTGAAGAACCACAACACAAGGAAGGTCAGAAATTTCACCTATTTCAGGAGTGTTTCGGGTAGAGAAAAAAAGGGATGAATGATTCTGATCCGATGTAGGAATCAAAGTTTATTTTCTGTTGTTCAAAGCTATAAGGTAGTTGCTATTTTGTTGTTCGAAGATATAAGGTTTAAAAATACAAAGATAAATATCCCAGACTTCAAACGTGACCTCCCCAGTAAAGATCAACTGTCGGGTGCTGATGCTCAACAGATACGCTGCTGCCATTTCTCCCTGAGGATGAAGGTAACAGAGACTGTCCTACCCTGAGCAGGGACAGGGCTCAGCCCTACATCTGCCACTTTTACTTCTTCTCATGTGGAGGGAATGAGTCCAGACTCACCTGGGCAGGAAGACAAAGAGAGCAGTCCCAAAGGTGCCATAAGGAAAATAAGGAAGGTGGGCCAGGAGGGAGGCAGGGCCAGGCCAGCAGCTGCTCTAGCAGCAAACAGCACAACTCCTGACACATGGCTAAACTCTGTACCTGCCTGAAATAGGGCAGCCTTGTCCCTTCTGCTTTTCATAACAGCCCATACTTGTCCCCCAGACCCTGCTCAGGATTGCCTAGGACATTGGCAGCTGCCACAGGCCAAAAATGGCAATTAAACACAATGGACGGTCGCAAGGTGAGCCTGTGCCATAGCCTCTGACATTTGCTTGTGGTGGTGGAGCCAGAGAGCAAATGTCCGAAGCTGCTGCCCAATG